TCCCCTCTTCTTTTTAACCCACCGCCCCTCCCAACACACACACACACACACACACACACACACACACTTAATCTCCTACCTTCTTTGTAGATACATTTCTTGAGGCTCCCCCAGCATTCCCTGGCTCTGGCATTTCGAACGCAAGCTACAAACTGCTGAAGGCCAAACTTCTGGATTTTGAGAGCTTATTTTTTTTCAAAGATGTGTCCTTGCCCGGAAGACTCAGAGTTGAAGGAGGATGTCCTGTCTAGATCAACTGCTCCCAACAGCCCAGCAGCTTCTACGATAAAAGGTGGGTTCGAGTCTCTTTTTGAATGCCCTCAGTCCAAAGGGAATAAAGTTGTGACGAGGCTAAGTCATGCAGCAAACAATGGATTTTCTCTTCACAGCATTGCTGACATGGTTCCTGTAAAGTTGCATTGTCTTTTTTTCTTTTTCTTCAGAGTTTCGCTGCTCACCTCTTCCTGTGCTGTGGGTCTCATTTGGTCTTCCTTCCTGTTCGTTGCGTAGGCTACATGACAACCTGGTGCAGTGTGGTGACCACTGAGGAGCAACGTGGCAGAGACTGAACTCCAAACTGTCTCGGTTGATGCTACCAGACTGTGGCAAAGAGAAAAAAAAAGAGAAACCACTCTTTTTGCACAATAGACTATTTTCGATATTGGATGGGGAAAATCAAATAGATGGTTTTAAGAAAAGGTGATAAAATTGTTTATGCTTCTTGTGATACAGGGGGAAGTCATTTTTTATGTATATATTTCTTTTCTTTTTCTTTACTGTATTCTTACTTTTTCTTTCTTTTCTGTTTTTCTACTTTTTTCTGCAGTTTTTTCTTTTTCTTTTCTTTTTTTTAGTTCGTATTCGTTTTTAATCTTTTTAATTGTAATTTTTCATAAGATTACAATTAAAGCGAAAAATGAGTAGGTGGGCCCCGCTCTATCAATTCCTAGAGAGTATGATTCACTTTGCAGGGTCTTGCTCAAGCTTTTGGCATAACTCCCACCCATTTCAAATCTGCAGGAACATTTCCAGTGGATCCAAACTACTCTTAAAAGAAACCAGTGTCTGCTGTCTGAAGCAGATGTCCATTTATGGAAGGGCTCTTATGTAGTTGCTAAACGAGCTCTAATGTTTCACCGAACTTGTCTGATCAATACTTCTAGATTTGGAAATAATGTTTTCCTGAATAATCCATGCAAAGTTCTTTTTTTTTTTAATTTATTGAGAGTTTCCTTTTCCCTTTTCATTTCACATTCAGATCCATCCAGAGTTAGTATGTTGAAGCCAGAATTGTTCTCCTTTTGCAGTGAGCAAAAATGAGTCTCCGTGGGCTGAAAACTACTTGATTCCATTCTGCTTCATACAATTAACTGTTAGCTGGTTATTTTTAAATTCACAATCCTTCATGAATCAGTGATCCAGGGTTCAGACACAGAAGGCAGACTGGTCTGCAGATTAAGCTCAATTGGGGCTGATCCAGATATTATCAAAAAGTGGTCCGTCAAAGTTCATCTACATGCTTTCTCTCTCTTTTGTAATAAAACTACCCAACTTCACCATTGTTTTCCTGCCCCTTGGGCATCATCAGCTGTGCTTCTGGGAAATGCAGTGATATTCAAACATAGACACTCTGTATTAGACAAAGCTTCCCCTGCTTGGCATCCTCCAGATGTGCTAGTGCTTCAAAGCCCAGTGGCTGAGACTTCCAGAAATTTTATTTATTCTGCAACTCTATATGGCCACCATTTTAACCAAATAACTATGCTAACAAGGCATAGAAACAAAAACATGCTTACAAAAACAATACAAAGGACAATAAAAGAGAATAAATAAAATTGTGCTCCCAAGGAACATGCATGGTACAAAACTGGAGAAATCAGTACTAAATTTCCAGAGAGAGAAAGATAAACCAGACATGTGGCTTGTCCATAGACATAACTTTTCCTGTCAGAGTGAGTAGTTTTTACACCATTGCTAATGGCTGCTTGCTTGCTTGCTTCCTTTCCTTTCTCTCTCTTTTTTCCCCCTTCCCTTCCCTTCCCTTCCCTTCCCTCCTTCGTTCTTTTTCTGTTTTTAAAAAAATTACATGCCAAGTTAAACCAGGTGAACAAATGCTGAAGACCACAAAGCAGATGACGCCAGATCACCCAAGTGGGTGAGGTTGTATATTTGAAAGATTTATTATTATTGTTGTTGTTGTTGTTGTAAGTTTATTTTAGGTTTTATGCTACAGTATCCATCACCTTCCCACTTCAAAATGGCAAGAAATGGCATCTTCCGTTTTCATCAGTCACAGAGTGTATTCATAACTGCAAAAAGGGGGCGTTTGACTGCAGCTTGCCTAACCCTGAGTTGACCTGCAGAACGTAACTCAGATCCATTCAAGGTTGACACTGAGCTTTAAAAAGCAACGTGTTCCAAGTCAAACTGTGCTGAATGTTGGGCATACACTCTGAAAACATCTGTCCATTCATGCATCCATCCTGGGTTATCCATCTCTGTCTCTCCCCCTCCCTCCCTCCAGGCCATTATCTATCTATCTATCTATCTATCTATCTATCTATCTATCTATCTATCTATCTATCTATCTATCTATCTATCTA